GGAGAAACATCTAATGAAGTTTAGTCAGGTCCTCTGGACCTGGACTGGACTGTATTTTTAGTTCCATCAGTTTGATGTGATGGACACCGCTCTCCACAAAGTTGTATTAAAGTGTGACATGGTGTCCATGGTGTCCATGGTTGGGTTTGGCTGCATGTGTGATGTTTCATTACATAAAGAAGTGGTAAAAAGTAAAATCATCAGCCTCGGCAACATTTTGTTCCAGGATGTTTAAACGGAGCAGCGCGTCACGTTAGATAGCTCGGAGAAAAGACATTATTAGAGGAGAACAAGTGTGGTCCAAATACTGGACGTGCACGAGGTGGAGCAGGAGAACACGTGACACAAACACAAACTGAACCAGATGGTGGAAGTAGTTTTTATAAAACCAGTAGACCAGTAGGTGTCGGACTCTTCAGTTTTAAAAATACAAGAAGTGAAAGCCTCGGACTGCTTGAAGTTATGCACCTACACAACACGCCACGCTGAGCCTTTGTGTTGTGAACAAGGTTTAGCTACTAACACGCCAAACTTTAGCTCAATGTGTGTCAAAGTGACCGAGTTCAAATTATTTCTGTGGTGGTGAATTTGATTAACTGTGGCGGCCATTTTTGAATTGGACTGACTCCAAAAGTCAACCAGTTGTAAATGACCAGCCAGTTAACATTTCCTGTTGGATGAAAATCCATCCGGTGGTTTTTCATTTAGTTTGCTAACAGACAAAAAGGGTCGACACCGAGAGTTGATGCTAAAATTATAAGCAACCATCGGACACAACGAGTAGCACTCGGGCCATGTGTTGGGGAGCAGTCTCAGCTACTACCGCACCCTGCTGAGTTCAGGCCTAAATGTGACTGAACTAGAGCGATCTCAGTGTTTGACCAGGGCCGGTGGTTGTGTCAGCCATCTTGAATCAGGCTGAAGTTCATCACTTGTACATGGGATTAAAATGCATCCAGTGGATCAGAAAGTATTTTGCTGACAAACATGGGCAGAAAGATTATCTCTGCCTTCTGGAATTACACCAACGTACACATGAGCCTTGAGGAATGATCCCAGTAGAACATGGACACATACTGGAGTCAGCTTGTTGTGCTCGAGCCACCAGAGGCTGATCCCGTGTCAGCTTTTATTGTTCCTGGTGTTTACAACGCACGAGGCTCTCCACACATGGCAACGCTCTCCCGTCCTTTTAAGGAGAACATCTGTCCGTGCACAACATCTTTCTAAACCGACAGAGAACAAAGAAGCGTGACGCAGCAGCTGCTGCTCTGGTTCTCCAGCTGCTGTCAGCCTTAAAGTCGGACTGACGGCACCTTTTCTTTACTGGGGGGCATGCGCCTCATTTGACCTTGTAGCCACTTCAGAAGGGTTGTAGCACAGGAAACAAGACGGGCTCACTCATGCACGTGATGCAGAGTTACAGTGTCCGTCAAAGTTAAAACAACAAGTTTCAGGTGCATCAAAAGCAGGAAAGCTTTGTTTTACAGAATCTTAGGATTAGAGCAGCCTCGTAGCTGCTGGTCAGATGTTTAAACTGGTGGATCTCCTACACAGCACATGTTTAAACTGGTGGATCTCCCACGCAGCACATGTTTAAACTGGTGGATCTCCTACGCAGCAGATGTTTAAACTGGTGGATCTCCTACACAGCACATGTTTAAACTGGTGGATCTCCCACACAGCAGATGTTTAAACTGGTGGATCTCCCACACAGCAGATGTTTAAACTGGTGGATCTCCTACACAGCACATGTTTAAACTGGTGGATCTCCCACGCAGCACATGTTTAAACTGGTGGATCTCCTACGCAGCAGATGTTTAAACTGGTGGATCTCCTACGCAGCAGATGTTTAAACTGGTGGATCTCCCACACAGCAGATGTTTAAACTGGTGGATCTCCCACACAGCAGATGTTTAAACTGGTGGATCTCCCACACAGCAGATGTTTAAGCTGGTGGATCTCCCACGCAGCAGATGTTTAAAGTGAACTGGTGGATCTCCCACACAGCAGATGTTTAAGCTGGTGGATCTCCCACGCAGCAGATGTTTAAACTGGTGGATCTCCCACGCAGCAGATGTTTAAAGTGAACTGTCAGAGTGTTGTAAATGACTCTCGGCTCTTCCCATACTCGTCTTCATCTAAACAACTGGAGGACTTACAGCCGTCTCCGTCTTGGACAGGGCAGACAGTGCTGAGTAAATATTATAAAGAATATAAATAGAAAATTAATCCACCTGTTCATGGGGTAATCTGCTACAGAATCTAAATATTTAAGGTCAGAAGTTTTGGGTTTGGTTTGAAGATGAGCGGCAGCCATGTTGATTGTAGTCCAATGATTACTTTCTGAATGTTTCATTAAAATCCTGTAATTTGCTTCACCACATATTTTGCTAACAGACAAATGAACATGGGCAAGATAATTTTCATCTATTGAAAGTTATATTTTTCTCTGACAGGACACTTTTACAGCAAAATGTTCACTTTTAAATTAGCCAACAAGCTAAGCTAACTAATTACAACGTTCAAAAACTGCGTGAGAAATTTATTGCGCGGTTTTTTTATCATCGCACTTCGCTGCTCTGCTCTGAGAAGATAACAAAGCCACTGAAGAAACAAGATATTAAACTCACCAGAACCGATAAATAATAAAAGTGAATAAAGTTCTTCACAAGTCCATGTAGTCGAAAAGAACCAGGTTCATTCCAACATGGCGACCAACAGGTGTTGCAGAGGACAACTGCACGTGACACAGGTAACATGCAGTGGAACAATTTACACTAATATTGGTCATTAATTCTACAATGAGGCATTAATTCAGTTTAAAACTCACCTGTTGTCTGAAAGTGTCTCCTGCACTTCTTACAGTCCCATTGAGGCGGCGGGTCAGAGCGCGAGGAGGGGTCGACCCTGAAGGCGCCACGCGCTCCCAGCTGAAGCAAGCCCCGCCCACCCCGCCGGGTTAAAAATAAGGTCTGGGCTGCAACCGTTCATGGTGTGCGCATGCGCAGAGGACGGACATTCCTGACCCGAGCTGGCCAGAGGCGCTTCTGGTCTCCTGAACACCGCCCCCCCCCCCAGCCCCCCGAGCCCCCCCGCCCAGCCGTGGCCTCTAATCGCACACGCGCACACTCCACCCACAAGCCATCTTCTCGGACCCCCACAGACATGCCACCACAAAGAAGAGATGGAGAGGAGGCCCCAACTATTTTTAGCAAAGTAAAAAACTTGTCTTAAAGAAAATGTTCCATCGTTGACATGATTTTAATATTAATGAGTCGAGACAAAACCAATTTGAAAACAAGAATCCATTCAAGATTCAAAACAAAAGTCATGCTTACAAATGTTTGTTTTTAATCAAAAGAGAGGTCAAGGTAATGGCAAATGGCAGATAATTACCCACATCATACATAAAACACATAACCTGAACCAGAAATAACTTCGTACATAATAAACACGACTGGGAATAAACTGGTATTTTCATATAAAAACCTCCTTGTGTTCCCCAACTCTACTTTTTGTTTAGCTGCTCTGAATCTGAGCCAAGAAAGCTTCCTAGGTGGATCCAGGTGATCAAGAGAACTCCTAATTCAGATCAGTTTTAATCATTGATTTAAATCAATGATTAATGATTTGTACACAGTAGGCTACTTACCAGGTACTTAGTAAGTACTAAAGTACTGTACGTAGCAGGTGCACATCAAGTAACTCACAAAGGTACTTACAGGGTACGTAGGACTGGGCTGTATGAGAAAGTTGTAAAGTGACTTGTTACCCTGTACTTACAGGATATGTACCTTATACTTTCAGAGTATACACTTGGTAATTTCAGGGTACATACTAGGTATGTATCTAACACAACTGGCACCAATTTACTCAGTACATACCAGGTAGATACTCCCGCTGTAGTTACCTGGTAAGTACGCAACAAGTACCTTGTACAAACCCATTGTACATACCAGGCACATACTCCTTCCATGAGTACACAAGGCACATTCACAGGAAGAACCAGGTACATATCCGATAAGTACTTGGTAAATACAAGGTGCAGCCTCAAAGAGTACTATGGAAGTACCAGGTACACACTGTCGAAGTACAGGCTGTATTATGTATCGGTTGCAATAAAAGGATCCCAATAAAAGTAGGAACCATGAAAGAGTATTTTAAAGTGACAGTTAAAAAACAAACGTGGGGACAGAAACATCCATAAAACCCAAAGTGTGAGCATCGTCTGTGCAGCTGCTCGCTACTTTCCTTCCTTTCAGAACTTCTTCTGCTGCTCCCAACCTCAACAGCAGCGCACCGAGCAGCTCTTTGGCTCAAGGTCGTGACCTTTAAAGTGTCGCGTCCAAAACGTCTGACCAACTCCACACTCCACTTTTACCACTGATCCTGCTTCTGGCCAGTACTTGACAGAAACACTGGGATGCTGTTTATTTCGATGTCATTTAAATAAAAAGGTTTTATTGTCCTGTCTTGCTGCAACGAGGCACGACCGCTCTTTTCACGGCTCCAGTCAAAGTGTGATGGTAAAAACACGCTGTGCTACAGCAGGGACCGAATCAAAAGGCAGTTTAAGAACATTTCTTTCTACATTTGCTAATTGTTACATGTTGCATTAACGTGTGGGCTGCTGAATATAAAACTATAAACTGTATGTGTTTATAAAAGCGTCAGGTTTTAGTCAAGGTACACCAAATCCTTGGAAGTATCCGAACGCCTCTTTAGTCTCATTTCATGTTGGGAACTTGTCGTCCTGCGCGACACTTCCTGCAACAAACCTGAAGAAAACATGTCAAATCTGCTGCGAAAACTTTTGGATCAATCTTTGGAAAATCAGAATGTTAAAAGCATTCATATAAAATATAAATAAATAAATATTGATTTGAAAAAATAGCTTACTAGAAAATAAGAAATACTTTTAAAAAGCCGCTACAACTTTTTCTCCAAAGACAAACATAGCAGTGTTGTTAAAATAAAAAGTCTGCAGGTTCAGTCCGAGCGCTCACTCTTCATTCCCTCGTATTTATTTATGACGACATGAAGACGTCAAGATCAGCGATGACAGCCGCTTGTCTCCTGGCAACAGCCTTCAAGTGACGAGAAGGACAAGAAGAAGACCCCAGGTCCACCTGAAGAAGAACAACACGGTGCATCAGCGACGCCTAAATCGCTTCAGTTACTGAGAATTACTCGGATTTTCTGCCAAACGTTGTCCAGTTTGTAAAATATTACATTTCTAACTGATCAACAAGAGGCGTGAGCATGCATCAGCAACTGAAGCTAAAGTAACAACTGAAGCTAAAGCACACGCCTCGGCTCCTTTAAGCTCATCTCATTAAAGGTGAGAAGGCTGCCAATGGTGAGCTACAAAGTCCTCCTGCTGCACAGCAGCACCTCCTCCTGGTCCTCCTGGTCCTGGTCCTTCCTACACGTTCACTCATGGAGACAACAAATCATAACCTTGCACATCGTTAGTCTGAATTAGTCACAGACTGTTGAACTGAACTGGAATCTGAGAGCATAGGGGCCAGTAACTGTAACAACTATCTCACCTGCAGCAGGTAAATGACTCTGGTGAGCTCCTGTCCACTGCGGCGAACTGGTTGCAGGATCCAGCCGCTGGGCATCATCAGCCCTCGGACGGCGTCGACAGCGGCTCGAGGCAGAGACTCTTCACACACGGACTGCATGGCCAGAACACGCACACCCCCCTGAGGCAGAGGGAGGGGACACAGATTGAAAAAGTTCAAACATGAAGTTTGTTTAAACCTTTTAATTCTGTTAATGTTTCTTCTTTGAAGTGTGTCTGAGCTGCAGAACACGCTTCTCATGTGTTTAATACTCTGCTTAGTTTAGCTGATGTGGATGCAGCGCTGCATGACATCACAGCTCACTCTGCTTCACATGCACAAGTTGCATTTTATTTTGAAACAAGTGCACAAGTTGCATTTTATTTTGAAACAAGTGCACAAGTTGCATTTTATTTTGAAACAAGTGCACAAGTTGCATTTTATTTTGAAACAGGAAGACAAACTTCTTGCAGTAAGGATGCTTCTTTAGTGATTATTAATTAGTACCTTTAAGTCATATAAACAGCTGGTGCAGATTTATGATCAGCTCAGCGTCAACCTGAAACAGCTAACTACCCCCCCGCCCCCCGTTTTACACTTGGTGGATGAAAAGCTCCACAGCGTCTGTTGATCTGCTGCGTGCACGCCTCTTTCTCCTTGAACCAAGGCGTGCAGCTGCTGGCCTGAACGAAAGCGGCTGTAAGGGTCCGCTTCATGCTGCAGATGTTCTGTTGATGCTGCAGATGTTCTGTTGATGCTGCAGATGTTCTTACCTGCTCAGACTCGGTGCTGATGCAGCAGAAGTCCCGCGGCTGGCTGAGCTGACAGGCGGACGGATCTGTTAGAATGTAAACTAGACAGGAAGACGCAGTGTCAAACTAGTCCAAAAGACAAAATCCCTAAAAAAACACGGATCTGTTAAACTCAGCCTTTATGAGCCTTTAGATACAACATGTCCATGGCATGATGTCATGATTTCTACAACTACATTCACATCTTTGTGTAGAAACAAGATAAAAAACAGAAATTAAAGGAGAAGCAGGTGTGAGGGTGGAGCTGGCGGTGCTGAACGAGACCGTGCTGCGTTACAACAAACAGTCATGAAGCAGGGTCTGCTCTAAATACGTGCACACATATACAGTTTGCTGCTCAAACAAAACATATAAATATTATTCGGTTGTGAATTTCAGCAAAAGATGCTTTTTGCAAACTCTTCCAGTGCATGACTTCACCTGACCTAAATATAAATCTTTTGCAGGCTCAATCATCCAGGAGGTAGATAACAACAAAAAAGTTCTGTTGTATCATCGGGAGCAGTTTCTTTAAGTGAAAAACGTTTCGACCCCCATCCAGAGGACTTCTTCAGTCTGGGGCCTGCCTATGGGGCAGATCTGAGACTGACAAAGTCCTCTGGATGGGGGTCGAAACGTTTCTCACTTAAAGAAACTGCTCCAGATGACGTGGCTGAACCTTTTTTGTTGTTCTACATATAATATAATATGTGTATATATATATATATATATATATATATATATATATA